AGCAAAGGGTCTGAATACTTATGACCATGTGATATTTCAGTTTTTCTTTTTTAATAAATATGCAAAAATGTCAAAAATTCTGTTTTCTGTCAATATGGGGTGCTGTGTGTACATTAATGAGGAAAAAAATGAACTTAAATGATTTTAGCATATGGCTGCAATATAACAAAGAGTGAAAAATTTAAGGGGGTCTGAATACTTTCCATACCCACTGTTTATGGCTGTAACAATCCATGATCAACATCCAGACATGCAAGAAACCTTTATAGCCTGAAAATGTAATTTGCAGGAACATAAAGCAGTGAGTGGTGTAGAAATATTAGTACAGAGCCAAGGGCTCACATTAGGCAATGTTTTATTCAGAGCTACAGTACAACGTCTTATAAAAACAGTACCGGTATATGATGTACAAATTTGTAGGATAGGAGTAAAATCATGTTACCCAACATCTGCTGGCACTGGATGGAAACACTTACTCATAGCTCTGTAGTCATCACAAACACATTTATGTACGCACACACACACACACACACACACACACACACATAGCATCATAAAGGCTCACAACAACAGAGGCAGGTGACAGCGTTGGGGGGTGGAATCTGTGAATTCAAACCCCAGCTGAAGGAAAAAAAAGACAGACAAGCTGTCCTGTCTGTTTAGATTAATGGGGCTGTTTGTATTTTGGGAGCACTGAGGAGAGAAACATTTAATTATAAAGACATGAGGCACAAATGAAAACAACATAATAAGACACAATCATTCAAATAAGCTAAAAATCAATTGCAATCGTATGTGTGTGACTTCTTTTTTGAACCATTAAATTATTTAGTTCTCGAGGGCTGCACAAATGTATCAATGTCTCATTTTCAATAAAAGTCAGTCATCATTACACCAGCTACACATAAATGAGCTGTTTTGAATTAACCGAACATCATGTTCTTTCTGGCTGACTATAAGCAAACAATTTTCACACCAAATTTGTTGATCATCCCAAAAACTTGGAACTAGCAAGCCTATTTCTTAAGAGTTCACAAAATATTCCAATTTAATTTGACAACAACACTCAGAATGACTAACATTCAAACCGAATGCCCATCAGTCAGTTGGACAAAACTCAACCAACCATTAAAGTCACTTGTATGTTAACACTTACCACTCATGCTGGGGCTCATCAATGACCAACAGGATCTTGAACTTCTTGGAGAGGGAAGCAGAGGGAGCCGATTGCTCCACAAACCCGGCAGCAGACGCGGCCGTCTGTTTGACCACATTGGTGATGGTGCTGAAGGAGCTGAAGAAGCCAGAGGAACCACCGGAGGAGGAGGACTGGGCCTGTTGGGGCTGCTGAGCCAGTTGGGTTGGACGCCGCTCCTGAGCTGCGGGGGAGCTGGCTGGAGCCTGCAATGGTGCTGGAGCTTTGGTCGGGGACTGGGCAGGGACGGGCGCTGTGGCAGGGGGTGCGCCCTGCTGGGAAGGGGAGGAGGCGGTGGGAGGAGGGGGAGCAGGTGGGTCAGGCCTCTGGAGATCTGTCATGTAGCCATTGGGTAGGTTGGACATGAAGCTGCTGTCAGACAGGCGGCGTCGGAGGAAGTTCATGATTGCGGTCGAAAGGTCGGTCTCTCAGTTGGTCGATTAGATGCTCTCTAAGTGTTTCTCTTGGTTTCTTGGCTGAATGGAGTGAAAGCAGAGACAGGCACAAACGGTTACACAGAGAACCACACTGATCAGAGGTTAGATGAATGACAGAAGGCAGATCAGTCCAAATGATCAAGTGATGGGTGACAGAGAGCTGCTTCTGTGTTGGAGCAAAGGAAAGCAGGAAGGAAAGAAAGGATGGATGAAGCAATGGATACAGCTCTGGTCCAGTCTTCAAGAGACAGCTCTCCAAAGCAAAACAGCAAAACAGCGTGCGTGTATATGGTGTTCCTCCTCCAGAGACTCACACCTCCTCACAAATGTGTGTGCGTGATGTGTCTAAGAGTGTGTCTGAGAGAGAGGTATGGTGTCGCCCCCTTCGGTGAGGTGCTGCTGCTCTCTCCCCTCTGCTTTGCCTGCCTTCCTGCCTCCTAAGCTGCTGCAAGCTGAATGCACTCAAAAGATGCTGTGCTCTCTCTCTCTCTCACCCTTTCACTCGCTCACGCTCCGTTGGCCCTTTTCCTCTCGCTCTCTCACGGCACGCTCACTGACTGTCTCCCCCTCCCCCCTCGCCTCCTCCTCGCTCCTGTCATCATCCTCCTACATCACAGGCTACGTTTGGTGTGTCGTGCTGCAGCCTTGTAGCGCCGAGTGCCGTGTGCAACCAGTGACAGGGGTTTCCTGCGAGCGTGCATAAGGTGGGGTTCACAGATGGAAACACCATCCACCCTATTCTATAAGCCCCACCTCCCTCTCCCACCATTTTTTCAGCCATACATCTCTCAGCCTCTCTCTTCCCTTCATCCTGTCTCCCTCCACTGTGAGCTCATGTACCGTATGTGCCAGTGCCAGTACATTTTCTAGTGGATACATTTTCTGAGTGTGCGCTTATTCCAGTATTTTCCCATTAAAAGCATGTGGCATGACAGAGGGCAAGTTCACATTACACGGTAAAGTGACCCAGATTTTTCCCTCCAAATGAATCAGATCTTTTTATGAATGTGTGAAGGACAGGAGATAAGTACAGCGATTCATATATCTCGCCTGGTTCGATCAATCAAATGATCTCATTTAGTGGAAGGAGCTGCAGTTATGTAATGTGTCCTCCTCTGCAGAAAATAGCACATGGAGGTAACAGTAGTGCTAACCAAGGGTAGTCATACTTGAGGACACCCCGGAGTGATACGCATGATTTTAGGAGCATTTTGCACCATCTTTCTATCTCAGCAGTAGGATCTGTGATGATTATTAGCACAGTCAAATTGTTCAAATGATTCCACACTGTATTCTAAAAGTACTGCAGCATTACTATGTAAAGTAACAACTAGTAAGGGATGCCAAAGCTGTACATTTCTATAATAACAACATCAACATTTGTATAGCCAGCAAATCAACAGTCCTTGCACACCTCAGTGATGGTGAAGGTAAACAATCATATACACACAATGCATACTGTATATAATCTTGCAGGTAAAGAGTAGATGTGATCTCTTTTCTATATCACGTGTGCTGCAGCCTTTTTGCTTTCACGTCTCTTTCACTTTTCATTATTAAACAAGCATCTTCTCCCTATTCTTGGCTTCATCACTACAGTTTTTCAGGCGATGAGAAGAGTAGCTAAATGCTGGCAGCAGCTGCACCTGCACGGTTTACTGCTCTGAGCTTTACTTAAAAAAAAGAGCCAGATGACAGGACGGAGAGAAAGAAGATTATTTAAGCTGGATAAAAAAATCCCTAACACATCTGAACCACACTAGGACAACAGCTTGGCATCAGAAGACTACAGTAAAAGATAATACAGATCTACATTAAAATACCTCAATCTTGTTTTCAGTGGGCAATTATGCCTTTAAGGGTGTAAAGAAGTTGTACTAATTTAGAGATACTCACCAGTCCATTCATTGGATTTAACTGCTCAGTCAATGTCATGCATTGCAATCTCAGGAAACACACAGCTTTCATTATAAATGTAGTTGGTCTGGACTCATACTACAGTATCTTAATTGATGGAAATAAATTCCTTAACCTATTTGCTGTTGAAAGGTTGCTCTTAAGCTGCAATCTAAGCCACTCACATGGTCATATCTCTTTTGAACCTCAGCTATTTCTGTTGACTCATTATTCTCATGATTTTACACATGAGAAATGGTAGCAATTTGCAGGTGAAGAGTGAGTACTGTACACATTACTGCCCATTATTGCACCAGGTTCCATCCAACAACATCGTTCACCTTTGAATCGCCCTTTATTATGGCAGAACTGACATGACACATCCAAAGATGTACAGAAATCGGTCCTTGAACTCAGGTCAGATAATATTTTGTTTGGTAACAAATAAATTACTCTATTTTTTCTGCATAACGGATGCAGGGTGCACGTTTATAGCATGTCATGATGATACAAGCCCGGTTGGGGGTGGGGTTCTGTGTTTAGTGAACCAGAATAGAGCCAGTGAGTCACACAGCTGCAGTGTGAACTGTAGCAACATCAAAAGCTCATCCTGGCCTACATGATTTATGACACACATGCATAACACTTAACACAGCCATTATATAAGTGTGCATGAACACATGCAGGCAACAGAGTCAGCGTAAAACACCGTGTCAGTGTCAAGATTAAAAAGTGGTGTTCTATGCAACAGAAGGTGGGCTCCAGTGTGTTTTCCCTTTCTTTTTCTTTTTTGCACTACCTCCTTTAAAGACACACTACATTGCGTTTATAGCATAACAAATTTTCTTTAACAAAGGTTCTCCAACTAGAAACAAAATTATGGCTCTTCAGCTTTCCTCAGGCTTGCTCCTCTTAGATAAGGCATGGCTATAACTTACACAGGAGATATGATGTGCCTTATATTGCTGTGCTGGAGAAAAAAAACAGCAAGGATATAGCAAACAGCACGGCCGCAATGCCAGGAGCATCACTCATCTGTCAGCACACATGTACTGCAAGTGCAGATTGACAAACATGTGTGCATGTATAGCCTCACACATTCAGTAAACACTAACATGTACACACAAACACAGATGCTGACATGCACACACATGCAGCCCTTTGTCTTGACAGGCATTACTATTAGAGCCAACATGCATGCACACACATATTTGTTTTCATTCCTCGCGAGGACTTATAATTAAACATTTCCTTACCCTAACACTTAAACATAACTACTACAGTACTTACCCTAACCGGCAGAGTCCCCACAATGCAAGTGTGTAAACAAGTTTTAGCCCCCACAATGTGAGCAATACAGTGCCGGGCACACATGTACTGTACCTATCAGCATCATCAACAAATGTAATACTTCGTTCAGTAATTACAAGGATTTTCACTTTTCACGATTTAACTGTTAATATTGTGCGTGTGTGTGTGTGTTTTGCACAAGCCTGGTTAAATGCCGCTTTGGGGGATTTGTTGAAAATGAGTGTATCTGAGTGAATATACAAGGCTCAAACCTCCTATGGCTTCACTGGCTCGATTTAGATAATCCATGAAATATCGAAACACTTGGCTTCTTTGCACATCTGGCATCGACAGTAGATGCTGATGACATGGTATAATACATGTCCTGACCCCTGCAGGGCATGCATTTAATTGTACTATCCAATATTTGAATGAATTATTCAACCCAGTCCATGTTTTATTTAATTGATAAATGTCTTTCTAATGACTAGCTGCAATAGGTCAGCTAATAATAGAAGATTAAAACTAATTAAATGGAGGTTTGCCCTACCGGGAGTCATCTGGCATGCACTGGCAGATTAACTGAAAATACAGGAGGCACACACCAGGAAGCAACAGGGTTGTTCAGGGGCTGTGCTATTGTCTAATCCTGTTTTAAGACAATCCCAGATATTCATTTTCACTGTGGGTTTTTTTGCATTAAAAATGAGCCTTGATGCTACAGTATAATTCAGTTAAAACATCAGGAAAAAAGATGTTAAAATTCTATTCTAGCCTTTGATGCTACTTTGGGGAATAGTGTATATTCAGCTGTGGTATTATAAAAGCTAGCTCTCTGAATGAGCTTGTGTGGATGGATTAAAACACCCACAAGCAATTCAGATATCTGAAGCAAATCTCCACAAATATGCAGGCTTTTGCACATCACACATACATACACACACAACACAATTTACTCTACACAGTGGGTTGCAATGTGCTGATATTTTTGCGATAGGCCTATTGCTCACAACATAAAATTCAAGACTCAAAACTGCCATGGCAACAGGTAGTACAGATTCTGTTCCTATATAACTGTATGAACAGCAGCAAAAGCAGCAAAGCAAGCGATTGCAGTAGTTACAGCAAAGCTCTTAGGTGAGTAGTGAGCAGAGCACTGAAGGATAAAATTATGTTACAAGGCCTGCACAGACATACACTATATGGACACACAGGCGTGTTGGATATACACTACATACAGTATGTACACTGAACCATTACACCCATATGTTATAGCTGAACATATTCTACAAGCATAGACAATAGGTTTAGTGATAGTTAGCATTCTTTAAATTTAAGTTGAGACAGATACTTTGTGTAAATAAATAAACTCACTGCAAATTATCCATGACATCTGTAAAAGACTCAATATTTCTTGTAGAAAGTTGGAGACAGACAAATCTGCAGCAGTGTGAGACTAGTCAAGGCTCAGTTTTCTGTAGCAAACACAGAAAATGATGCTGAAAACTAAGTACAGTGGTTTTTGGTGGAACATTTTAATCAACAATTTGTGCTAGCAGCCTAGTGCTTGTCCAGTTTTAAAGATTACATTTCTAACCCCCTACTGCATCACATGTGACACCACAGTATTATTTAAAAATGCAAAAAGAAAAGAAAAACAGCAACGACTGACCATAATCTGACTAGAAATACTCAACACTAACAAATATGAAAGGAACTATTTTAAAAGTCACAAGACGG